ACTGGATTATACAGAATGAGTGCAATCTCGATATGATCAGCTGAACCTGATAGATGAAAATAGATTGAAAGCCATTCATCATGGTCAAATCTATCAGAAATGAATGATTCGAGCACATGACAAGAAGGTGCGCCCGAAAGTATTCTGTGAAGGAGATCTTGTGCTTAAAAGAATTTGGCCAATTCAAAAAGACTTCAGAGGAAAATGGATGCCAAATTGGGAAGTACCTTATGTCATGAAAAATGACTTCTCCGTATGATCACTTGTCCTGGAAGAAATAGACGGACCGGAACTGCCAAATCCCGTTAATTCGGATGTAGTCAAGAAGTACTTCACTTATGATGAAAACCCGAGAGGGCGTCTTAAGTTGAAGAAGAAAAAGAGAAAGAAAAGAAAAAACATTTAGGGTGAAAACCCGAAAGGGCGTCCTAAATTGAAAAGAAAAGAGAAAAGAGAAAAATGTTTAGGGTGAAAACCCGAAAGGGCGCCCTAAACTGAAAAAAGGAGAAGAAGAAAAAGAAAAGAAAAATAAGGTGGGTTCAATATGAAAACCCGAAGCGATTTGGATATTGATTCAAGAAAAGGTCCCTAATCCAGACAATAAAGCATCACAACATCAGAAGTTTCTACAGACTTAACGAGTCAGAGAAAGGTAGCACTCTCCTGAACGTTGTTGCATTTTCTAAGATCTCTTGACAAAGGCTGCATTCAAGGTCACCTAACGACTTATCAGCTCAGAAGCGCCCGCATTATTGAGATTTAAGACATCAATTCACACTTCATTTATGTATTCATTTTCCAGAATACTTGTCATGTATTATTTGTTCTTTTCCCTATATGAATAAAGACGACCATTTCTCTAAATCAATTCTTTTTTAGCATATTGGGTTGAATTTAAACCTGATGATTTATTTACTTATGAAAAAGATAATCGCATATTACTGTACAAAGATTTTTGAAAAGTACAGGTACTCGGAAGCCCATCAAGGCTCATGCGCATCCTTGAGATGGTTGAGAAATATTTCCCAAATCAAAGATAAAAAATAAAATCAGTACATAAAATTTAAACATTTGAAGAATTCAAGATCGGGAATCAGAGATTCAAGATTCCAGAATCAAGAGTTATCAAGACATGCAACCAGAGCCCAAAATAACATATTTCGCATATGCATTTTAGGCACACCTAAGAGCATTGCATCCATAGCATCGCATAAATGCATAACTTTGCAGGTTTTAACTAGAGTTAATTTCAACTTCGCAACGAAGGATATTGGACTCGAAGAGACTCAATTTACTCGAGATTGGATTTCAACTTCATAACGAAGGATATCCAACTCAAAGCCAATTCGATGAAATTTATTCAAGATTGGATTTCAACTTCACAACGAAGGATATCCAACTCAAAGCCAATTCGGTAAAACTTACTCAAGATTGGATTTCAACTTCACAACGAAGGATATCCAACTCAAAGCTCAACTTCACAACGAAGGAGCCATCCATGATTTCAGCTTCACGACGAAGGATATCGTGCCCAACGGATCAACTTGATTTCACAGCAAATAAGTCATCTACAAGAACAGGGGTTTATTCCCCAGCCAAGTACAATATAACTCAAAATCGAGAAGAGTTATCTGTCAACAAACACTATCGAGTTTGATTCCATTCAGCTCGAGGACGTATTTACCGAAAGTTAGCAGCAAGGAACTACTTTCTGAAAAAAAAAATTCACACCAAGGTCTTTAAATAGAGAAGAAGACCAAGGTCAAGAATGGCAACAAGAAGCCACTTTTCGATTTTCCTATTATTTCAACTTCACAACGAAGGATATCGTACCCTAAAGATTAACCCAACTTCACGATGAATGAGTCATCTGTAACACAATAACACCAAAGTCTTTAGATCAAGTTTCAACTTCACGACGAAGTATCTTGAGCTAGAAGATGATTCAGGGGCTATTTGCCAAAGTTTTGAGTTCGGTTTCAACTTCACGACGAATGATAGCATGCTCATAATTTTTCAGTTCAACTCAACCTCAAGGCGAGGGAGTCATTTTGTGATTTAGTCCAAATTGAAAAACCAATCGTAACATCGGATTTCAACTCTACGACAGATGATATTCGATACTAAACTCAGGGAAACACGCATAGGCGAAAATTGTGTCTTGTAAACTTTGTCTTATTCCTGTTACACGACTATGGGCAAAGAAGGGTAGTTGTGGACACTAATTTTCGCCCCTTATATATATCATCCTTTATATATATATATATATATATCATACATATCTTAATTTAAAATAATACACGTTTTTCTCTTTACAGGCAAATATGGCCCAACAGAATACCCAAGACCAACAGTGGCCCACATCAGCGACTCGATTTGTAACCCGCGAATCGATCCAGATCCAAGACTGCAACCCTTAAAAAAATAGGATAAATCCCATTTCGGTCCCTCGTCTTTTTAAAAGCCTATTTTGCCCCCTAAAATTTGATTTCACCCCGAATTTCCTTTTAAATTCACCCCCAGTTTTATTTTATTTCAAATTTAGTCCTTTTATTTCTTTTTTTTCTAATATTTTATTTATACGATTATATATATATATATATATATATATATATATATATATATATATACCTTATTTTTTATTTTATTTGTTTTTACCTAGTATATATATATATATTTTAGTATTTTATTTGTTTTTATTTTTACTTAGTATATATATATATATATATATATATCTTATATATATATATACTTTTTATTATATATATATATATATATTATTTTGTATTCTTTTTCTTTATTTTCTTTTACCTTTTTTGTTTTATTTTTATTTATGTTACTATTTTATTTATTTTGTTTTATTTTTATTTATTTTATTATTTTTCTTTATTTGTTTTGTTTATTATTTTCATATTCGCATACTTTCTATCTTAATTCGATTATGTGCTTCACTACATTTCTGTCTTTTTTAAGGGTCTTCATTCAAATCAATCAGATGTAAGTAATTTGGATCATATTTTTACCTTTTAATTTAAACTTTCAATTTTCTTAATTAAACACAATTGGAAATTAATTAGTACCGAAAGGGCAGTTCAAGGGTGCTAATCCTTCCTTGATTGTAACCGACTCCCGAATCTGACATATCTTTGCTAAAATGCTGATCAGGTAAGAAATCGAGGTATCTGATCGACTTATTTGTTTTAAAATAAATGATTGGTGGCAACTCCAACACATTACATTCAAGTCAAAGCCCAATTTCGGGCTTACCCGAAAGACGGTTCTGATATTAGCATAAGTAAATTAATGAAAATAACTAAATTAATAATCCAACAACCTAAGGACTGGCTAATAAATCAAATTTCTAACATTTGTTAATTAACCATTAAAATATGGTATTAAAACAGAACAATAAAAATTTAAAAATCAAAATATAAATAACCAAATAAATGTATTTGGAAATTTAAGGGCCAAAACTGGTATTAACATAAACTGGAAGGACTTAATAAATAATTATGAACAAATCAGGACCCCAATAGTCAATTTAAAATAAATACAGGCACCAGAAATAAAAATAACCCCTAATAATATTTAAGGACTAAAATAATTTAAACCAGAAACATGAAGGACTAAATGATAATTAAACCATATGCAAAACAGTGGCTAAAATGAAAAATAAATAAATCAAAGGGTCAAATTCAAATGTCAATAAAAATATACAACTCATGAAATTAATGACTAAAATGAAATAATCACAAATATGGTAACGAGAGTCAAACATTAACTAAATGACATAACATATAAGATGTTGACTGAAATATAAACATTGAAATACGAGTGCTCAAAATAAAATAATCTAAAGATTCATTCCATAGTAAAATAACGAGATTACAAAGATGCAGGGACCAAATATGCTAATATACCCTCCCTCAAAAACACGCTAATTCCCTGGTAAAACGACGTCGCTCGGGGCATGATACATAAGATCAAAGTAAGGCCAAAATTGGCTAAAACTCTCATTTGTTCTGTTTTCCCAACTGATAGAAGAGAGATAAGGAGAGATAGAGAGAGATGGCTCAAGAGCTCTCAACCAGAGCTCAAAAGCTCTCAACCGGAGCTCAAAAGCTTCCAAAAAACGGTGAACCTCCGTCGTGTCAACCGCCACCGACCTATGACGACCACTGCCTGCCGGAGCCAGAGGAGAGAGAAGAAGACATCACCTGAAGCATCTCCTCCTCCTCATCACGAATCCGAGGTTGGATTTTTGAAATGGGGGCTAGATCGGAGCAAATCTAGAGAAAAAGGTAAAAAAATTTCTTCCTCTCTCATTTTTTTTCTTTCGATATTGGTTTTTTTCTATTATTCTCTCTTCGAAAAACCCTCTACTTTCTCTCCTATTTTTTTCAAACCCCCCCCCCCCCGAAAAATCCCCTGTGTTCTCCTCCCCTTTTCTCTTTTTGAATGGTTCTTCCCTCCTGGTTTTATGTTGCATGTGGGTGATAGCCTTTGATTTCCGAGGGCTAGGATGTGATGGCCCCATATCTCTCTTTTGATTTTCTCCCATTTTTATTTGGAGTTTTATGACTTTGATTTTTTGACTGATGGGTGTTTCTGTCACTGTTTGGTGCAAATCTGTCGACAGTAGCGGGAACAATCGACGACGGTAGCATCAACAATGGCAGGCGGCGACAACAACATCATACCCCTAGGTTTAGGTTTCAGAAACCGTAGGGGGTCAGGTCGGGTTGTGTCAGATACTGGGTCCGAACCGGGTCGGGTTACTGGGGTTGTCTGCTGGACTGGGTCTTCGAGTTTTGGGCCAAAACCGGGATTTGGGTCTTGGTTAAGTTGGTCATCTGGGTCAGAGCTGGTTGGGCCTCGGGTTATATATTAGACCTGCAAATGTAAAATGTAAAATAAATAATAATAATAATAATATAATTAATAATATATAATTAGTATTTTTTTTTCGAGACCCGGACAAAACGGGTGTCTACATGAGTTGAGAGCAAAACGAATGAAACAGCAAGATCCAAAGGCACATAGTAAGTTGAGATATGCTTCTAGAGGCAGTTCTGGTGGCAAGGGGTCATCACCTGTCAAGCGAAAACCCTTCATTGCATCCGGTCTAAGTAGCTCTAGTCAGAGTGAGAGTGAAAGTAGGCCTAACAGTGAAGATGAGGGGTCGACTGGGGATGACAGAATGGCTGATAGTGAGGATGAGACAGGGACATGGGGGCCAGATGGACCAACATTCAATGATATTAAAGAAATTACTACCAGAAGGTCAAAACTCGCAAAATGGTTTATGGAGCCATTTTTTGAGGAGTTGATTGTGGGTTGTTTTGTAAGAGTTGGTATTGGAAGGTCGAAAAGTGGCCCTATCTACAGGCTCTTCATGGTCAGAAATGTTGATGCTACAGATCCTGATCGGACATACAAATTAGAGAACAGGGCAACATATAAGTACTTGAATGTTGTTTGGGGAAATGAAAGTTCTGCTGCCAGGTGGCAGATGGATATTATTTCAGACTCCCCACCACAAGAGGAAGAGTTTAGACAATGGGTTAGGGAGGTGGAGCGAAGTGGATGCCGGATGCCAAGCAAGCAAGATGTGTTGGAAAAGAAAGAAGCATTACAGAAGGTCAGAACTTTTGTTTATTCAGCAGCTACTGTAAAGCAGATGTTGCAGGAGAAAAAATCATCCTCATCTAAACATTTGAATGTTGCTGCTGAGAAGGACCGATTGAGAAGGGACCTGGAAATTGCACAAAGCAAGCATGATGAGGCAGATGTTGAGAGGATTAAGAAGAGACTGCATCAACTGGAGGCTTCCCGGCAGTCACAGGAGAAAGATGTCAAGGCTATTAGGTTGGCTGAGATGAACAGAAAGAACAGAGTTGAGAATTTCAAGAATGCATCAGGATTAAAACCCGTAAACACATCTTTTAAAGCAGGGGAGGCCGGCTATGATCCTTTTTCAAGAAGGTGGACTAGATCAAGGAATTACTATAATGCGAAGGCTCCTGGAGGAGATACAACGGCGGCAACTAATGATGACACAAATGGCAATGGAAATGCAAGTGTTGCTGCTGTTGAAGCTGGCAAGGCAGCCACGGCAGCTGCATTACAAGAAGCTGCTGGCTTGGGGAAATTGGTCGATACAAGTGCCCCCGTCGATGAAGGGACAGAATCCAACATGCTACACAACTTTGAGCTTCCAATCTCATTGGAAGCACTTCGGAAGTTTGGTGGTCACGAAGGTGCTATGTTGGGATTCATGGCCAGGAAACAAAGGATAGAAGCAACCGTCGGATGCAGAGTCCCCGAGAATGATGGGAGGAGACATGCTCTTACCTTGACTGTCAGTGACTATAAAAGAAGAAGAGGGCTTTTTTAGAAGGTAATAATATATATTCTCTCATTTCAGCTCTTCTTTAAGAGGAAAGCTCGACTGTTGGTGACTACAATGTTAGCATATTGTTTTTTGTGTGCATATGTATGCTGTCTTTCGGTTTATAAAATTATGGTTCGACTGCTAGCAGCTGATATCAAAATTCTGAAGTTTCTTTTGTGATGCCAAACAAATGAAAAAAGAAACATGCAGGATATAACATTTTATACCTAAGAGTACGGGGGAATATATGATATAATGCTTTTAACATATATTATATTGGTCAAATTCTATCATTAGTCCTTGTACTATATATAACTGGTGTATTTCGTTCATGTATTCTATTAGGGTTAGTTTTAGTCCTTTTAGTTCATGTATTCTATCATGGTCAAAGTTTAGTTCATGTACTTGTCGAATTTTGAAATTTTTGTTATAACTCAAATGGGACAATAGGATTGAATCATAGAGATTTTAAAATCCAAAGTAGAGTACAAGAAGTAAATCCATAACTTATGTATAGCACAGAGAGTGATTAAAAAGTTATCAGTCGGAATAACATAACATATTGTATTAAAATGATATACAGGGTAAGAAAATGAGTTATAAACAATAAATGTTATGAATACTATTAATATTTTAGGTTGTGTCTAAAATGTTATCAGAGTTTAAGCGGACGGAGCATTGGATTATCCCACAATAAGAGAATAAGTTGCAAATTAAAAATGTTATGAATATATATAAGAAATACGGTTGACCCAATAATATTATGGTTCACTAAGAAATAAGTTGCGATAATGTTATTTTTATTAATAAAATAAGTTCTGCCCAAGAATGTTATGGTTCACTAAGAAAGCATGTTACAATCTAGAATCTTAACATTTTTAATAATAAAATGGGTTACGCCTAAAATATTATCAGAGTTTAAGTTGATGGAGTCTTGAATTTTCTCATGACAAGAAAAAAAAAGTTAAAAGCTGAAAATGTTATAAGAAATACAGTTTGCGTCCAATATGTCATGATTCACTAAGAAACATGTTGCGATCTGTAATGTTAATATTTTAATTAATAAAATAGGTTGCTTCCAAGAATGTTTTGGTTCACTAAGAAAGTAGGTTGCAATCTGTAATATACTGTTAATTTTTTTAAATAAAAACAGTTCAAAAAATTAAATATCGATACTTAATATATTATTATCGATATTTTTAAATATTAAACAAAGTTGAAGATAAGATCGAAATTTAAAATATTGATGATCGATACTTTTAGAAATTAAAAAATTGATAAAAAAGATCGAATTCCTCATTTTTCATGTTTTTTTTAATTCGAAAGTGAAGACTTTTTGTGGAGAAGTATCGATATTTATTATAAGTGAATTACGAGACAAATTATTTAAGAAAACAGTTCGAAAATAAAATATCAATACTTAATCTATGTTGATCGATATTTTTACATAAAAAAGGTGCTACCTATTATGTTATCATAATTTGAAAGTATCTATATTTGTAAAAAATTATTGATATTTTGCATCCTTCTTATTTTTCATATTTTTCTTTAAATTCGAAAGTATCGATACTTTTGGAAAAGTATCCATATTTCGAATTAAAAAAATGAAAAATGGTATGTTAACTTTTGAATTTATAAGTATCAATACTTTTGAATTTAAAAAAATAGAAAATGATATTTTAACTTTTGAATTTAAAAGTATCGATACTTTGTAGCCTTCACATTTTTTATGTTTTTCTTTAAATTCGAAAGTATCAATATTTTTAAAAAAGTATTGATACTTTCGAATTAAAAAAATAAAAAAATGATATTTTATCTTTCGAATTTAAAAGAATCGATAGTATCGATACTTTGCAGCCTTCTCATTTTTCATGTTTTCTTTAAATTTGAAAGTATCAATATGTTTGGAAAAGTATTCATACTTTCAAATTTTTTATAATAGAAAAATTAACATTCTAGATCACAACTTGCTTTCTTAGTGAACATAACATTCTTGTGTGTAACAAATTTTATTAATAAAAATATTAGCATTCCAAATCTCAACATATTACTTAGTGAACCATGACATTCTTGGATGAAACTCATTTTATTAATAAAAATATTAATATTTCATATCGTAACTTATTTCTTAGTGAACCATGGCATTCTTGGGTATAACCCATTTTATTATAAAAATATTAACATTCCAGATCCCAACCTATTTATTAGTGAACCATGACATTCTTGGACAAAACTCATTTTATTAATAAACATATTAACATTTCAGATCACAACATATTTCTTAGTGAACCATGTCATTATTGGGCACAACCTATTTTATTAAAAAAAATTAACATTCCACATCTCAACGTGTTTCTTAGTTAATCATGGCATTTTTAGGCGCAACCATATTTCTTATATATATTTATAACATATTCAATTTTAACTTATTTTTTTATCGTAGTAATGTCAAAGGCCCCAATAACTTAAACTTTGGTAATATTTTAGGCGCAACCTAAAATGTTAATATAACTTTTTTCACCAGTTATAACATTTTTGGTGTAACCTGTTATACTATTGTATCGATAACTTTTTTGGTTTTGTTTTTTAACATTTTGTGTTTCATTTTTAACCTATAAAATATGTTTTTCATGTTGAAATGGTCGCCGTGACTTTTTAGGGCTTTTTCGAGGATCGATCCAACTTAATTTTGGGAACATGTTGGGTTTTAAAGTACATAAATAAACAAATTTGGAGTCGCCATCGACATTTAGATTATGTAGGTCGAATACCTAAAAATACCTTTTAAAATAATTTTAAGAAAAATAAGTTTAAAAGATAAAAATTTTGATATGCGATTAACCAGAAATTCACTTTGAAAAGGGTTCGGGAGTCGATTACGTGTAGGGAAGGATTAACAACCCCACAACGCCCAAAATCAGTACTTACACAATTATATGTCATCTAAATATTGAAATTGACAAATTCCAATAATATTTAAATTATGATACTTTTTTAGAAAAATAAAAAATGATATTATTTTATATGAATAATCCTCGAAAATACCTCCCTAGTCAATTAAGGGGATATTTTTATGGATTCCTCATATAAAATAATATTACCCTAAATTTTAGATATAATAAAAATAAAAATAAATTTATTTAAAACATAAAAATATTATTTTATTCTAGCAGTCCTTAGAGACACTCTTTGTTAGTTAAGGGGTGTTTCTTTAAGTTCCTCATATAAAATAATATATGAAAATATTTATTCTAGTAACAAATTTATAAATATATAAATAAAGGATTAAAATAATAAATATAATAAATTTAGGGATTAAATTATAAACTTAACAAAAGATCAAGGTAACAATTGCAAATAATTCAAATATTAGGCACTTCAAACGAAAATAAACCCATAATACTATTCATAATTAAAAATATTAAATTTAGGGCTTAAACTGTAAAAAAAGTAAAAATTCATGGTCATAACAAAAACATCATTAAATTGACGTACTGGAATTGTAATTTAACCCTAATCATTATTCATGATTAAAATAAAAACTATTAAAATCTAAGGACTAAATCGAATATTTACCCAAAAATATATAAATACGGTTAGTGAGTAAAATAAAAACAAAATAAAAATTGAAATCCAAATTAAAATACACAAATGAATTTCAGTGACCAAAATGAAAATTACAAAACCTAAGGGACTGCGGGAATTATATTCTGTTAAACTATGTTTTGATATAACAAATTTAAGGCAAATTTTTTTTAGACTTCAATTGAATTCATTCAAAGTTTTCAAAAGGTTTCAAAAATAATTCAAAGTCTATTAAATTCAGATTTGAGCAAAAATGCAAATGGGTACCGATACCCCTATGAATGGTATCAATACCCCTTATGAATGGGTATCAATACCCTTTACGAATGGGTATCGATACCCCTATAGGTATCCATACCCTGGGTATCGATACCCTTATGACTGGGTATCAATACCCCTATGAAGGCTCAAACATCGAATGCAAAAGGGTACCGATACCCCTATGGGTATCATTACACTGGGTACCGATACCCCCGCATGGGTATCAATACCCCTGCATGGGTATCAATACCCCTGCATAGGTATCAATGCCCCCTGGCTCCAACGGCTAGTTTAATTTGAATTTAACAAAGGTAGTACCGATACCCCTTGAAGGGGTATTGATACCCCCTGCTATGAATAACCTTGTTTTACGGAAAAATCATCCCAAACGGCTCCAAAACATCTCTAACAGTTATACACGACTTCAAACTCATTTCAAGATATAAATACAAGCTGAGGACACTTGAAGAAGTAAGAGAACAATTATCCAAGCATTGAAACACAAGAGAAGAAGTTTTTCATTCTTATTTTCATTATCTCTTGTAAATATTGTTCTAGTGAGCTTAATTCTTGTAAACACCTACCTTTGAGAGGTTTATTTGTTTACATCTTTTATTCTTTTGTAAAGGGGAAAGGTTCTAGCTGATCCCGTGAAAAGCTAGGGAAAGGTTCTAGTTTAGCCCGTAAAAAACTAGGGAGTTATAAAGGTTATCTCTTTGTCCTTGAAAAAGAAAGAACAAATTAGTGAATTTGTTGGAAAATCCTTGGTGAGGGAGCTAAGGTAGTGTATGTAGACTTGGTTGAAAAGTCAAACCACTATAAATCACTGTGAAAATTTCTATCTTTCAATCTCTTCACTCCTAAACACAAAAACAGTTTCGACCCCTCTTTGCAAACTATTCCAGTTATCAATTCGAGCTTCCTCAAATCCCAACAATTGGTATAAAAGCTTAACTCGTTAGAAGGCTTAACATCCTTAAGACGATCCTCGAAGAAGCTTTACCGATTCCCGACGTAATCGATAAAAAGATGGCTTCAACCTTCAGTTCGTATTACATTGAAGATTCACATATTATGGACTCACAATCGGTCAACAAGCCACCCTTCTTCAATGGAGCAAATTATGCACATTGGAAGAATAAGATGATGTTCTTTATTCGAGCCTACAATCTAGGAGCTTGGAACTCAATCATGAACGGTTACTCCACTCCACCTGGCGAGTTAGATGATTGGGATGATTAGAGTAATGAAGAGAAGAAAAAGTTCCAGCACAATGCTAAGGCTATACACATTATCTTTTGTGCATTAGACCTAAATGAATATGGAAGAATCTCATCTTGTTCCAGTGCCAAAGAGATTTGGGATAAGCTTTAAGTCACTCATGAAGGAACTGATGAAGTGAGAGAATCAAAGATAAGTCTTCTCAACCATAGCTACGAGAACTTCAAGATGAAACCCGATGAAGACATAAAAGCTATGACGGATAGATTTTCCGTGATTGTCAACGGTCTCAGGGGATTTAGAGAAGTAATCCCTAATGAGAAGCTTATGAGGAAGATGATCTACTCTCTTCCAAAGTCATGGCAATCGAAGAAGACAACCATTATCGAAGCTAGAGACTTAGAGTCTCTCACTCTCGACAAGCTAATTGGTTCCTTTCTCACTCATGAGATGACGTTGAAGGAAGAGTAAGAAGGCGAAAAGAAGAAAAAATAGAAAAAGAATGAGGTAGGTATTGCCTTCAAATCCACCAATGAAAGCTATCAAGATTCAAGTGATGAAGTGGATGAAGACGATGATGAACAAGAAGATGAGATGGTCAAGCTCTTAAAAGAGTTAAAGAGATTCATGACTTCCAAGGAAGTAAAGCATGAATCAACCAAGTAGAAGAGTGCCTCGGTGTGCTTTAATTGTAAAAGAACGGGGCATGTCAAGTATGATTGTCCCATTCTAAGAAAGAAGGATCATCCAAGAAGAAGACATATGTGTCAGCTTGGAGTGACGAAGATGACTCCAATGATGATGAAGTAGTCAACATATGCCTCATGGCCACTCATGAAGAATTCGAGGTATCTTCTAACTCAAATGAATTTAATTCATTTACTTTCGATGAGTTACAAGATGCTTATAATAGGTTGTATTTGGGATTTGAGACCATAGATTCCAAATATACGAAAATAATTTCAAAACTCAAAATTAAAGATGAATTGATTTTGAAAGTAAAAGTTGATTTTGAAAATCAAAATGAAATTTTGAAAATGATTTAGAGATTTCAAAAATCAAAATAAATGATTTAGAAAAAGAAAATTTTGATTTAAAAGTTAAACTTGAAAGCTTAACAAAAGAAAAATAATTAATTTCTAAAAATGACCTATTATGTTTAAAAATGACAAAATGCTCACATTGTCATTTTCATGGTCACAGGGAACATACATGTCCTTTTAAGAAAGGAGAACATTTTAAAATTAGACAAGAATGAGTTCCAAAGGGAACAACGGACATTGAAACTAATGTTCAAGGATCCAAAGCAATTTGGATACCAAAATATACTTAAATGTATCTTGTATGTGTGTGGGAGCAATGGTGATGGAAGTGATAATATTCAAGATGCTCTAGCCACACATGAAAAAGGAATGGGTAACTTCTAAGCTTAATGCTTTTGATTTTGGTTATTTGGTTGCCCATTTGATTTTAAGCATGCATGAGTTTTGGTCTTAAATGATTATGCATTATTGTTTTAATCTCATGTATGTTGAAAATATGTTTATAATGAACATTTTAAAGTTTTAATAATTTTTCAAAATTTTTGTTCATCATAAGGAATTTTGGTCAAAATTGGTTTTTAATGCAAATGATATCTCTCTAACAATTGATATAAACTTTTCAAACACTTTGATTTTAAATGTAAATGATATCTCTCTAACAATTGATATCAATTTTTTTAAAAAAAAACTTTTTTGACCTAAATTTGAATGTTTACGTATGTGGTTTAAATGAAAATGATATTTCTCTAACAATTGATATCAAAAATTTTCATATGCATAACATTTTTACAAAACTTTATGCATATGTACTTAATTTCAACTATTGGTATTGCATAAAGTATTTTAGACTTGGATATATTGAATTTCATGTGCTATTAACATGTTTTTTATTATTTGTTGAAATTTAATTTTGTTTAAGTGTCAAGATCTCAAAAGCTAAATTTTGTTTGGAATGGTATTTTTTAGGGGAGCTTTGATTTTTCAAATGATTTTTTTAAATTGTCAAATTTACCACTTATTCTCCAAAGTTATTTTGAACTTTAAAGGTTGAATTATTTTTGATATAACAAAAAGGGGGAGAAGTATGGTTTGAAAAATTCAATTTCTTAATGAAAAGGGGGAGCTTAACATTTTTATATATTTTCCAACAATTGGATCTTTTTAACAATTGGTATCCTTTTTTAAACATTTTGTATCTTTTTCATTAAACATTTTATTAAGGGGGAGTTTTGCCAAAAACAATTTTTCAAATTTATGTTATATCAAAAAGGGGGACATTGTTGAAATATGTTTCGATATAACAAATTTAAGGCAAAATGTTTTTGGAATTGAATTGAATTTATTCAAAGTTTTCAAAAGGTTTCAAAAATAAATCAAAGTCCATTACATTCAGATTTGAGCAAAAATGCAAATGGTTACCGATAACCCTATGAATGGGTATCAATACCCCTTAGGAATGGGTACCAATACCCCTATGGGTATCAATACCTTAGGTACCGATACCCCTATGACTGGGTATCAATATCCCTATGAAGGCTCAAACATCGAATGCAAAAAGGGTACCAATATCGATACCCCTATAGGTATCAATACCCTGGGTACCGATACCCCTGCATGGGTATCAATACCCCCTGGCTCCAACGGCTAGCAACGGCTAGTTTGATTTGAATTTAACAAAGGTAGTACCGATACCCCCTGTTATGGATAGCCTTGTTTTGCTGAAAATTCATCCCCAAACGGCTCTAAAACATCCCCAACGAATATACACGACTTCAAACTCATTTCAAGCTATAAATACAAGCTAAGGACACTTGAAGAAGTAAGAGAACAACTATCCAAGTATTCAAACAAAAGAGAAGAAGTTTTTCATTCTCTCTTGTAAATATTGTTCTAGTGAGCTTAATTCTTGTAAACACCTACCTTTTATAGGTTTATTTGTTTACTTATTTTATCCTTTTGTAAAGGGGAATGGTTCTAGTTGATCCCGTAAAAAGCTACGGAATGGTTCTAGTTTAGCCCGTGAAAAATGAGGGAGTTGTAAAGGTTATCTCTTTATCCTTGAAAAAGAAAGAACAAATTAGTGAATTTGTTGGAAAATCCTTGGTTAGGGGCTAAGGTAGTGGATGTAGACTTGGTTGAGAAATCAAACTACTATAAATCGTAGTGCAAATTTCTATCTTTCAATCTCCTCACTCCCTAAACACAAAAATCATTCTGACCCCTCTTTGCAAACCGTTCCAGTTATCGATTCAAGCTTTCACAAATCCAAACATTTTCCCATACACTAAATACACAAAAAACCCTCCCCAAAATGATGTCGCGTGAAAAGGGGTATTTACACCCTAAACTGGCCCAAAATAATGAGCCAACCTCATTTTCTCCTCTTTCTCTCTATATCTTAAAAGAGAGAAAGAAGTTTCTCTCGCTTCTCCCTAAAATCCCTCACCGGAGGGAGACCGACCATTAGGCTAGTCGTCGTACATTGGTGCCAACAACGACCGTCGTCTATAGCCCATGGTGGTTGGAATTCAAAACAAAAACCCCCAAATCGAAGCCCCATTTTTCCTACACCTGAATCCGAGCCCCTCTCATCCTAAAAACCTGTCAACCGATCTAGATCTTGGTGTTTACCTTCGGAAAAAAAAATCCGACTCTTCGACGTCGTTTGAAGATTCCGACGAACGTGGTAAGCTTTCTTTCATCTCTCTTTTCTTATTTATGATTTGTCATTGTTGTGGTTGTGTCGAATGGTTGCTCTTTTTTCTATGTTTTTCTTTTTTTCTCTCCATTTTTCTCTCTCCGTATGGATACTAGTGATGTCTTTTTTCTTATATGTTTTAGGGTTATTTTTATAGGACCCTTCGGCTCTCCCTTTCGATCGGTCAGAAGGATGAACCCCTGTGATTCACCGGGGCTATGGCGGTGACTAACCTAGGGGAAACTACGACTAGTTGGGTGTATTTAATGCACCCATCCCTTTTGGATCTAACCGGTGGTCTTTAACGTAGCAACTCACGTGTCGGTGGCTGAGAGGGGCATCTGGTGGCGGCGGCTGGCATAACCCTAGGGTTATAATGAAACCCTAGGGTTTCTGGAATCTTATCTGGGTCGTTGGATCAAAGTAAGATGCAATTACTGAGAGCAACGGGCGACAAATGGCTAAGGCAGAAAACCCTAACGGGGTTCAGGCCTGATGGGTTAGATGTTGGGCTCGATTTGTTCTTGGATAGGATTTGTACATGGTTCGGGTTTACTTGCATTAGGCTTCATTTTTTTAATAATAATAATAATAATAATAATATATGTAGGACCAAAATGACTATCTACAACCTCTTTGCTCATTCTTGTGTCAATAAGAATATGGCAAAGATGAAAAGATAATGAATTTTCGTCCATTCGACTTCATTTTTTCATGGGAAATCCCCTCCACTCTTTTTTCAGGGGAGATCGGACTTGATATGTTCCTCTTTTTCAGGTAGTTGGATCAATTTTGGAAGATGTGTCTGCTCCACTCTTCTTTCAAGGGAGATCAAACTTGATTTGTTCCTCTTTTTCGGGTAGTTAGATATATTTTGAAGATGGGCATGCTTCACTATTCTTTTATGGGAGATCAGACTTGATCTTTTCCTCTTTTTGGGTAGTCAGGTCTATTTTGAAGACGGGTCTGCTCCACTATTCTATCAGGGGATATTAGACTTGATATGTTCCTTTTTTTTGGGTAGTCATATTTATTTTGAAGACGGGTATGCTCCACTATTCATTCAGGGGAGATCAGACTTGATATATTCCTCTTTTTCGTGTAGTCAGATCTATTTGCAGATGGGTCTTCTCCACTATTCATTCAAGGAGATACGACTTGATTTGTTCCTCTTTTTTGAGTAGTCAAATCAATTTTTGAAAACGAGTTTTCTCTATTTTTCTTTAAGGGAAATAAGACTCGATTTGTTCCGCTTTTTTGGGTATTCAGATCAATTTTGGAAACGAGACTGCTTCACTCTTCTTTCAGGGAGATAAGACTCGAGAAATCTTGGGAAGACGGGTCTGCTCCTCTATTCTTTTAGGGGAGATAAGACTCAAAAAATCTTTGGATATCTCTCATTTTAGGGATTTTGAATTGGTTACTCCCATATTGAAGTTTCAATATCTTCAATCTTCAACTTTCTTTTGAGAAACTTGTAGACACTATATTACGTTTGTTATCATGCACTTATGAATGTCATGACCCTATTTATGCCTAAAATGTGTGCAATGACGCTATTTTAGCGTATTTTCTTTTTCGAATGATGACCCTCTCTTATTCTCCATCTTATGATTTTATTTTATTTTGGGCGCAACAAACATGACCAATTTACCCCAACTAACAATCTTCATCCTATATTCTTAAATGAAATATGATCTTAATTTTCTTTCTTCCTGAACCACGTCAGTACCAATGACCAACCGCTTGATTAGTGACAAATATCTTGGATCATCCTCAAATCGCTAAAATTTTCTATGTACTCAAAGGTTTTATTATGCATGTATCATGTCATCACGCAAGCTTACAATTTAAAACCATTGTTAGCTTCAGAACACCTGCACTTTTCCAAATATTTTTGCACAATTATATACAATAATTTCATGTACTTCAAGTTAAACTACATGTTTTTAATTTTCAAAGTAAGATGCTTGCAAAAGGAGAGTTAACAAGAAAATATCACTTTTTATTTATATAAATGTAAAGAGTCTTTTAAGGGATTGCATGGCAAACTTTTAACTGGAAAACTGTAAAAAGAAAAGAAATATACATCCTCATATATCAATAATACATATGCTTTTGAACTGGTACACTGCAAAGTGACTCAAGTGAAGCTTCTGTTAAAAGGATCTCGAGATTCGTGATAATGCGTAAGGGTGTGAAGTTCCTTCTTGACTGCCAAATCTCCAGATGTTGGTTACCATCAACTAGTATTGAATCTTATATCTTCAGTCCTAATACTAATCACTACTTGATGTTGTTACCCAACCCAGGAAGCTTTTAATCCTTACAATAAATCCAAGACCTTCACCAAGCACGAATCCTGGATTTGAATGACACTCATGCCATACTTTATGGGTTTTCAACTTGAGACCTCCTTAGTTTCAAGATGTCCTTTTCATATTTTCATCTTATACCCTCCTTTTATTTTATTATTTTTTCTTTTTCTTTTTTCAAGCAAAATACCTTTTAATAGCATCAAAGTTCACTGGGTAGGGTAATTCCGACCCATCTATCTCAACGAGGACTAGAGCTCCTTTAGAAAAAGTTATCTTCGCACCATAAGGTCCTTCCTAGTTTGGCATCCATTTCCCTCGGAAATCCTTTTGAATAGGTAAGATCCTTCTAAGTACGAGATCTCCTTCATGAAATTCTCGGAGGTGAACTTTCTTATTGTGTGCTCGTATCATACGCTTTTGGTACACCTGACCATGATAAATAGCTTTCAATCTCTTTTATTCAATTAAATTCAATTGGTCATATCTGGCTTGTACCCATTCTTCCTCATCTAGCTTTACCTCTGATAAAACTCAAAGTGAGGGAATTTCTACCTCAATAGGTAGGACAACTTCCATACCATAAGCTAAAGAAAATGGAGTTGCCCCTGTCGACGTCCGTACTGAAGTTCGATAAGCCAACAGAGCTAATGATAATTTCTTATACCAGTCCTTATAAGTCTCAGTCATATTTTCTATAAGTTTATTGTTGTTCTTATTGGTCGTCTCTATTGCCCAATTCATCTTCGGGCGATAAGTGGCGGAATTATGATGTTTTATTTTGAAATGCTCACAGACTGATTTCATCATCTTGTTGTTTAGATTTAAAGCATTTTCGGAAATAATCCTCTCTGATAGACCATATCGACAGATGATTTCCTTTTTCAAGAATTTACAGACAATAGACTGAGTTGTCTATTGCTACCAAAATGAAACAATGGCCATTTGAAGCTTTGGGCGAAATTTGTCTAATAACATCCATGCCCTACATAGAGAATGGCCACAGAGTTTTCACCACGTGAAATGGATGACGAGGGTATGTATTCTATCTCCATAAATCTGACACTTGTGACATTTTCGGGAATAATTGATATAATCAGTTTCTATGGTTAACTAATAGTATCAAAATCCCATAATTTGTCTAGTCATTGTTTGCCCATTGGCATGGGTACCACATACTCCTTCATGCACCTCTTCGAGAATTGTTTTAACTTATTTGGTATCAACACATCTCAATAGGACCTGATCTAGACTTTTCTTGTATAGGATCTCACCATCCAGTACATACCTCGATGTCATTCTTCTAATAATTCTTTTATCATTCTCGGTCGCCTGTTTGGGATAACTCTGGTATCTAATGTATTACAAGATATCATAATTTCAGGGATTTCTATCTTCTTCCTCTTCAATGTTAAAACAATGGGTTGGGTACTCATAAGCATGCATTTCAATGGGCATCATGTCCGAAAGCTCATCTACTTTGAATGCAGCTCCTAAAGTGGCCAAGACATCTGCCATTTGGTTTTCTTCTCTGGGGAGGTAATTGAAGGTTATTTCTTCAAATTCTGCTCTGTGTTCCATGGCCAATTTACGATATTCTACAAGCTTAGGATCTTTTGTCCCCCATTCACCTCTAAGTTGGTAAATTATTAGAACTGAATCCCCATATACCTTGAGCATTTTTACCTTTCGTTCAATGGCAACTCTAAGACCTAGAACACAAGCCTCATACTCAGCAATATTATTTGTGCAATCAAAATTGAGTCGGCTGGTAAAAGGATAATGCTCTCCATTTGGTGAGACTGAGATTACCCCAATCCCATGCCCCAAGGCATTTGAAGCACCATTAAAGTTCAACTTCCAATACTCATTGGTGGACGTAACTGATTCTTCCAAAGAAATTGCCATTAGGTCTTCATCTGGGAAATCAAAGCTTAAATACCCATATTCTTGAGAAGCTCTACTTGCAATAAATTATGCTATGTCGCTTCCTTTAACTACTTTCTGCCTTACATATTGGATATCAAACTCTGATAACAAGATCTGCCAACAAGCTAATCTTCTAGATAGTGCAAGTATATCCATCAGATACTTCAAAGGATCGAGTCTAGATATAAGCCAAGTGGTGTGATATAGCATATACTGCCTGAGGCTTCGAGTAGCCCATACCAAAATGCAGCACAAATATTCGATTGGCGAGTATTTGGCTTCGCATTCAGTGAACTTCTTACTGGGATAGCAAATAACTCTCTCTTTTTTCTTAGTTCGATCATGTTGTCCTAATACACACCCTATTGAACTTTCACAAATCGATAAGTAAAGAATTAAGGGTTTGACTGGAAAGGGTGGCCCTAAGATTGGGGTACTAGAAAAATATCACTTAACTATTTTGGAAGCTTCTTGGTAATCGTCATTCCATTTCCCTGAGTTATTCTTGCGGAGGAGGCGAAAAATGGGATCACATTTCTCAGTCAACTACGAGATAAATCGAGCTATATAATTTAATCTTCCCAAGAATCCTCGAACCTCTTTTTGTTTTCGTGGGGGTGGTAAATCTTGAATGGATTTGACTTTATCTGGATCTATTTAAATTCCTTTTTTGCTCACAACAATCCCCAAGAGCTTTCTAGATATCACCCCAAAAGTACACTTACTTGGGTTAAACTTAAGCTGGCATTTTCTTAGTCTTTGGAAAAACTTCCTTAAATTCTCGACATGTTCTTCCTCTGTCTTAGCTTTAACAATCATATCATCGACATAAACTTCTATTTCTTTATGCATCATGTCCTGAAATAATGTTATTGATATGTGAGGTCCTAAAAGAAAAATTAATAAGAGTATATATACATATAATCATACGGGATGATCTTATCCCATATCAAAATAAAAAGAAATAATACATACACATAACAAATAATAAAAAGAATGCATGGAAAAATGTTTGCCATTTGGAACTAGTTGGAATGTATATCTCATTGAAAGTAAGAAAAACACATAGTTTAACCCTTTACACAAAATCAACTATTTCCCCAGGGTATAAGCAATAGGGAAAGTTCTTGCGTATTACTCTGAAAATGACTTGAAAACTACAGGTAATTCCTCTACAGCCCATTTATTCAACTTAAAGCCTGGTGGTGCGAGGTAGATGCCCATAGCTCTCCCTTCTTCAGATTCATCGTCT